GTGAAGCTATAGATAAAGCCATCCTTGTAACAGGCCGTGAAGGCCCATAGGGTTTGAGAAGTTGAGGCTCCCACATTTTCTAGACAATCGGCTCACAGATGGCGGTTACTCCCCGGCCGGCTGCCCTTTTCCCCCCAGGAGGATTCCTGGTACCCATTTTTGTTGGAGGCTGAGTCGAACCCAGGGCCATAGTGCGACTGGAAGGATTAGGTAAATTGAAAAAAAATTCCACCTCATCGGGACTTTAAATCGCGACCTTCCGGCTTCTAGCACAGTGCCTCAACCAACTACGCTACCGCGTGCCCCCATATAGTATAGAATGAGGATGATTAATGAATAGGTAAGGATTTGAAAGGAAGCGGTTATGGTCTATGGATTTGAAAACAGTAATTTATTTTTGTTACTGTTTTAGTAGTATTAAAAATAGTAGCCATCTTAATATAATTTATAGTAATTGTTACAAAAACGGAAACATAATTTGAGCCAGAACGATTACGGTATTAACCTGTTATGTTTTTGTGTTTTAATGTTTCTGAACGTAAGTTAGGCCACCGTCACTTTGTTTTTGTGTTGCTAATTCCATGTGAGTTTGAGAAGAAACATTATTTGGTCAGTCCGCCTTTCAGAGGACAATAATTTTATATAATTTTAAGGATAAATCATAAGTATATATTTACCTGTATATTGGTCACAAAGTAGCGAAGTGTGAGATTTATGAACTGAATTCAACTAGGACTATAATTTGTTAATACAGAATTCAGTATTTAATTTCACTGCAGATAATTTGAATTAATTGTGTACAACTGCATTGGGGGAAACTCATACCAAATATTGGTATAATATATTTCACAAAGTTATTCTGCTTCCAACATGACAGCCACTGAAGAGCAACATTAAACGTATGTGTCGACCTGTTACGGACTAGAATCAATCTATACTCATAAATTACTAATAAATACACGTAGACCTAACTTTTGCGTGTGACCTTCCCTCAATCCTGCATATTGACTTTCATAAAATAACAAGACATTTCTACGTACTTAATACACGACATTTGGAAAATAACATTACATGGAAGAGTATTAATATTTAGAACGAAAATTGTTTGCCATTTATATCGTCGCAAAAGCGCTCGCTAATAAATACGTGTATATGGAATGCAATCAAATTTCCTTCCAACACTTTACTTTAAAGTCGCTTTCTCGTAGCCTCGCGTAACCAGTTACTTTCTTGAATTCCAGCAGATATATTTCAATCCAACAAATGGCATTTCGTCCAGGTTTAATAGATACCCTTTATATTTTCACAGAATGGAAGTGATTTTTCTCTGTAATGTTGTATTTAGACTCACCTCAGCGTTATGCATTCAGCTTTTGAGACTTCTGGATCAAGAGGCTTACTTCCCGAAAGAAATAGACAATAGCGCATGCGCATTATCTCCTCCAGAGTCCATCTATTTAATCAGGCTGACTCTCTTTCAACCTACAAAAATCCTTTCTAGTTCCGCAACATAATCTCAGAGAACAAAGTCTCAGATTATTTGTCAAACTCTTCTCAGACATTTGCTGTGCTTTACAGTAACACAAATACTAAACACTAATATAGAAATGTTTTCTGCTGCTTACCGTACAATCTTAACTACACACTTACCTAACGTCTGAAGAACTGTCATCCTGTCTCTTTTCAAAACTGCTTAAAATAAGAAAATAGAAAACTTAATTGTGTCCCATGTTTTATGTGTGTATTAAATATGGTATCTGTTTTCGTACAACTAATATAAATTTAGGTAAATTTGCTCATGTGTCTTATTAAATAATCACTACGACAATAGGACTTGTGGGGGAGTGCCGGTATAACTCCGCCATTTTTCAACTAGATTACTAGATGGAGGTTAGTAGTGAGCTTCACGCCCCGGCATCTGTACTCCAGTGTAAACAGCCTATAATTCCCATCGGACAGGAAGCTGGGTTTGTCGCACAGCAGGTTTGGACAATGGGGTGGAAAGAAAAAAATGTCTTGCCCTCGCTGAGAAATTTACCCCTGTCTTTCAGCCCATAGTCCTTCGCCATACAGAGTGAGCTATTAAAAGTTTAAACTACGTGGCTTTAGTCCGCAAGCGAACTATACCGACCAAGCCATCGACCGCCGCTTGTCGACGAAGTTAGTGCCAACTTTCGCTGATAGAGGTGCCACGTGGTCAGCGCAACGGATCGCCACGCACGTTAATTTCGGTTTTCACGACCGGAGCTGCTATTTCCTTCAAATATCTCCTCAGTTATCCGCAGGAGGCTGAATGGACCCCGTTCTAGAACCACTTCTTCTCAGAAAGGCTGGTAGCGCCGGGAAACGAACCCGGGACCTCTGGATCTGTAGGCAAGTACTCTGACCCCTGGACCACAGAGGCGGTCAATACAAAGCATTCCTGAGAAAATATTTTGATTCTAAAACGGTTAAGTTACCAAGGGTGTTTAGTTACCAAGGGTGTTTGAGAACGGGGTGTTGAGAATATTTGGACCGAAGAGAGATGAAGTGACAGGATGTTGGAGAAAACTGCATAATGAGGAGCTTCATAACTTATGCTCTTCCCCAAGTGTAATTAGAATGATCAAGTCAAGGAGGATAAGATGGACCGGACATGTAGCACGAATGGAGGAGAAGAGAAATGCATATAGAATACTGGTGGGAAAGACAGAAGGAAAGAGACCACTGGGAATAACAAGGCGTAGGTGGGTGGATAATATAAAAATGAATCTTAGAGAAATAGGATGGGATGATATGGATTCGATTGATCTGGCTCAGAATAGAGAGCATTGGATGGCTCTTGTGAACACGGCAATGAACTTTCGGGTTCCATACAATGTTGGGAAATCCTTGAGTAGCTGCACAATTGGCGGCACCTCAAGGAGGGCTCAGCTCCATGAGTGAGTGAGTGAGTGACTGATATCTCCTCATAATGATCTGTGGGGGAAGTGAAGGTAAGGCTCCACGCATTTTGTAAACCAGTATTCCTCAACTAAAACTGCAGTGTGCACCCGTAAACTATCGACTGAATTTCGTTAAAATTGTACCAGTATAAAGAAATAAATACATTTCGATAACACTTAAATTCGAAACTCTCACAAATTATTTTACAAACGAGAAGCTAAATTCCTTTGGTAATTGAATCCAAGGAATTTTCATTGCAAGAAATAGATTATTTCGAGAAAAAAATCATCTAAGCGCAAAGCTGATGACTTAAAATTGCGACTGCTCTGCTTGCCCATTGGATGCCTGCAAACACAGTTCTAGCAAAGAAGTTTACCAACGCGAACGTCGGTTCTGGTTATAGAAACGCGTTCGTCACGCCACATTATTGGCTGGGATGTGACGGTGGATTTACCATTTATGTTAATTCAGCTTCATGTAAGAAGTGTGAACAGTTGACGTTTCGTGAAAACTGAATATTATGGTGAAAAAATAAATTTATCTTTTCGGTCATTTTCATACTTCAAGATAATGCCTACAAGTTGCAAGTTTATGACATTGTCCTCATAAACAGAATGGCGTGACTTGCCTCAGACATTTTAACATGAAATAAGAAAATAAATAATATCCTCTGTTAATGTCTTATATTATCGACTAATGGGGGTTCTGAATTAATTCTAATGATCACGCGATGAATAGCTGAATAATATTGATTACAAAGAGCACTGAATTTATGGAATTGAATCCCCGCAGACTGACCGGTCGAATAAAATTATATCAATTTCACATTACAAAAAGATTTGGCATATTTTAATTAGGAAATATAATTTAATTATAATTCCTACCCTTCATAATATCAAATGCTGTTTCGACCGTGACTGATATCAAACATATTTAAAAGAACGCTGTCAGTATTACTACAATAGACAAGCTCTTGTGATGAAGCATGCTGTCTTCTGGGATGTTGCGCCGTGTAGATCTCGTGTCAACTGACGTTTCGGAGGAACGTATCGCCTCTATCTTCAGGGTAGCGTGAGCAGATGGTTGGTTCCTCGCCCATGGATTTTTCTACCTTAAAGATGGAGGCAATGCCTTCTTCTGAAACGTCGGTTCACACAAGATCTACACGGCGTCACATCCCAGAAGAGGGCACTCTTCACAGTCACAGCTGTGAAACCCCAAATCATAGAAAGTTCTTGTGATGCTGATGTAATGTTAAATTATATATCTGTTTATGGGAAATCTTGTAAAATTAAAATAAAATATATTTTTGAAATTATATAAAATGAAAGCATGATGGAAGAATCACTTTCTTCCCCTCGCCTGTAGGAGGAAACCTAGGTATAGATTGGAGGATGAGAACAAAATGGCCCTTAAAGAATAAGATGCGATCGTATGGACTGGACTTAACTATGTCAGAATTACGTTCAGAGGAGACCTCTTAAGGATATAGTAAGAAGCACCGCGGCTTCATGAAAGGCGGGGAATGTATTCAATAGACTCTCAAGAAAGGCTCTGTAACTCTGTAATACTGAAAATAAAAGACCCAAAGTGATGAATCTGCCGCTTATATACATAAATGAAGAAAGATATGTTTCTACGGATCAGGTAAGGATGGATGGGAACAGCTTCAGGGAATCGCTGAAAGATAAGAATAAAGAAAAGTAACAGAACCTGAAAGAAGGGTTAAGATAATAGAGTAATGATTCATAAGAAAGAAACACAGAAAGAGAGAGAACGAAAGTTCAAGACAAGGAAGAAAGGATGTTCCAAGTGAGAGAAGATATAAACGAAGACTGGAGAGTATCACATACCGAGCGTCACACAAAACCGATACCATGCACCGGAAATTCGTTGCTGTGGTTACAGTTGTGCGTATTACTTATCGAACCTGTTTACAAATTATCTTCCTGCTTACCGGAGTTAACCGCAATGAACCACAGTATCACACAGGCGTCGGTAATACCAGAAGTCTAACGCTCATCGTGCACAGGCGAACTCCCGCATGAAATGCTAGCGATGCTTCATATCTGAGCATGACTCCAGTAGGTGTGTTGGGGCCCCAGCTTGCAAACAGCACCGTGAGTTCCACGAAGTCCAGGACGTGGCAAGAATTGCTCTGGGTGCAAGTTTGCGATTACTGTGAGAAAACTACATTGCATGGGTACCGTTATCTCACGGAACCTGGTCGCCACTGGGTGGAGAGGTAAGTTATGAAGAAACTATCTCTATGTAGAGCCCTTGTGTACTTTGGCCGCTTTTTCAGTTTCTTTATCCTTCACACAGTCGGTATGACTCCTTGGACGGGGGATCAGCCTGTCACAAGTCCGCTACTTGCGCAAAGGGCAGCAAAAACAGTGAATAAACGCATACAGGTATCCATGTCCGGAGTTGGATTCGAACCCACGATCCCAGTGTTCGAGCGTACGAAGACAGTACATGCCTTAGACCGCGCGGCCACTGTGACCGGCTTGACAAACACACTCTCTACCCTAATTCAACCCACTGTACATAACATTATTCCTTGGTCTACATTCTGTTTTGAAAAGGGAATTTTTCTTTCTCTGCACATTACTTGTAACCAAATTTTAATAAAACGAATGAATATTTAAAGTGAATAGTAGATCTTAGTTGTAACATAATTTAGTTCGGAGAGAACGACAAGTTTCGGAGGAAGACATCACCTTGATTTTCTGGGTAGAATAGTAAGAAAAGAAAGAAACAAACAAAAACAGGCGGTAAGCTCAGCTGAGACGAGAGTGAAATGATTATTTTCTCCGAAACGTCGTGCTCTCTCCGAGGTACACGGTCTTACAACCCAGCATACCGTACCCGTCGTGCTCACCGCTGTGAGAACTACAAATCCAGTACTGCGAATGTTTCTTCACACACAGGAAATTTCTCAAATTGTCATCAAATTACATGATGGAACGCTTACCTCTTCACAGCACCCAAAGAAGTTTCTTGGCAAAAGCGTGCACTGCTGAGAGACCGGCAGCTTGGAGGTTAGATACAACTCACTACTAGCCATTCGGTACTAGCTGAGGCATAAACTTCAACCGCAGTCTTTTTAAAGAAATATAAAATTATTTAAAGGAACAGAATGAAGTTTCAACCTAAATAAACAAATACTACTCTCATCCAATGAGAGATATATTCCAAAACTAATCACAATTTATAAAATAAGGGATGCATGACGCTCTTATTTTAATATTTAGCGAAAGGGCTTACTTTCCTTCCACATTGAAATATTTAAATTGCTTATGTCTTATGGCAAACGTATAAATACAAACTACATTTACAAAAGAGGTTCCTTAAGGTGTGAAACGCTGTGACATCACATCATATTTCTAAGCTAAGGGGAAAAAAACTCTCTGGCTTCAGTCCGCGAAATATACCGACCGCCCCTATGGTCTAGTTGTCAGAGTTCCTGGCTACAGATCCGGAGGTCTCGGGTTCGATTCCCGGCGCTACCAATTTTTTCTGAAAGTAGTGTGTCTGGAACGGGATACACTCAGCCTCGTGAGGATAATTGAGGATCTCTTTCAAGGAAATAGTTGCTCCGTTCTACAAAACTGAAATTAACGGCCGTGGGGATCCGCTGCACTGACCACACGACAAATTCTATCCGCTAAAGTTGGCACTAATTTCGCCGACAAGCCGAAATCGCTCAGTCGTCTAAGCAACGAAAGAATCGTAAATATGAATTCTATTATTATGAATTATATATTCGTCAAACCAGCAGTTCAGGCAACAGGATCGGAGACAACTTGAGACCGAAAAATATTCTGTGAGCAAGATATGTCAGTATTCTACTTAACAATATTATTAATATTTCTCGGGTATTTATAAAACAAATTTAGACTTTAATGTGGAGAGGCATTTCATATTTTCACAGGCCTGTACCCAAAAGCAAATATTGATTACTTGCATGCTAAATTCAACAAAGGAAAAGCTGCAAGATTGACTTTCTCTGTTCAGGTCGAATTGTACAACTAGCTCCTTTAGGTTCAAGAACTCTGAAGGCCAAGATATGCAAAAGACTACTGTAATTTCTTTGTATGGGGGTCTCAACTAGAATCTGGCTTCTAGGGAAGAACATAAATTACAAGTGAAATTTGAGGTGACATCGGCAATTAATACGATAATTTGGGTCTTCTGAGGTGGTCCTAAATCTTATAATCTCTTTTCCTGTGCGCCTTACTATTCATCTCTGATGATAGAAGCAGCTAATGCCTCAGAAAATTGGTGCTCACATACCAAACAACAGAACGTAATTCCCAAATGGTAGCAATCTTCTAAATTACAAGGGTTCAAATACATAGTACTAAGACAAACATTTGGGCCGCGCCATAGCTCAAGCGGATAGTCGCTGGCTTTCCACCGCGGCGGTCGGGGTTCGATCCCGGGTCCGGTCAAGTAGGATTTATGGTGGACAAAGTGGCACTGGGGCAGGTTTTCTCCGAGTACTTTGGTTTCCCCTGTCAATCTTCATTCCACCAATTGCTCCACAATCACCCTCACCTATCATCTTGGGCTGGTACAATAGGCCAGAAGTAGCCGCAGTTCAAGAGACTTAGTCCCACCCCACTAGCAATAAAAAAAATAAAAAAGAGACAAATATGAATTTGTATTAAGAATTGCATAGTTAAGGAAATAGTATTCACCTTTGTGACTTCTACAACATATACTGAATAACATCATTAAGACAGTTCTTACGGAGTTGGTTTAAGAGAATTTCGATCGAACTAGTTGGGGATCGTATCCGATGGAAGTATTTTCGGATTTTATCACAGCGAAGTCAGTTTCTCTGTACTCGACAAGTCCAACAAAATAATATTAAAACTGTCAACATGCACACGCATATATCATTTATTTACTCCAAACAAAACATATTTATTGATCTTAAAGACAGAAACATAGTACGCAACTGGAAGCTCTCTACTATAAACTTAATGTAATTGTGCGTGTACTAGTAAGTTAGGTAAATGTCAGAGGGAACAATTTACACGCAAGTGTAAAAAGTAAAGCTCTCCCTATAACAGGCCATGAAGGCCCATAGGGCTGTGAGACGTTGAGGGTCCCACATTATCTAGACAATCGGCTCAAAGATGGCGGTAAGGTTGTCAGCCTTATGAGCCGGCCGCGCTTTACTCCCCATGAAAATTATTTAATTAATTCCTGGTACTCATTTCTGTTAGAGGCTGAGTCGACCCCAGGGCCATAGTGCGGCTGGAAGGATTAGGTCAATTGAAAAAAATACAATGACCTCATCGGGATTTGAACCCGCGACCTTCTGACTTGTAAAATAGGGCCTCAACCAACTACGCTACCAGGTGCAATATTTGTATTTAATAAATATTAAATAACGGTGTGGTTTGTGCAGATTACTGTGGGTAACAGTTCAATTGCTCGCCGCGTGGGGAGTTGTTTTTATAATCATGGATGTCTGGGAGGAATATCTCAACTCGCCAACAGTGACCACAGTGGACTCCACGAGCTATCCCATATGGAATGTTCCTTTCCCAGCCATAGCTGTCTGCAATATCAACAAAGTCAGCAGATCGGCAACTTGGAAACTCGCCCAAAAGCTGTACGTCACACAAAAAAATTATAGTAATAATATATATACTATATATAAATAATATATTTGATTTGTTTCGTTCTGGTCCGTCACACTAATAATATTATAAAAGATAAAACAAATTCGTCCAGTGTGACTGGTGATGTTTTTCTTATTTCAAATCTTCATGCATTATATTTCATGTTCCAAGATTGCACGTTATTCGCTTTACTGCAGGTAATACTTCATACAATTGACGTCCTAAAATTTTGGTTTAGAACTTATACATTTTACGTCATTTAAAAATTCCAAATTAATTTCCGTGATGCAAATTTAACTCACACTTGACGTTCAAAAATCATAGTTCATTTGGTTCACTGATGTGAGTACGCTTAATTAGAGACCTATAAGAGGTTTGCAGGACAACTACTATGAGTAATGGCAAACGAATTTCTCTCGTTTAGTTTCTCTGGGTGACTTTTCTAAGATTTCATTTTCTTTTTCATACCTCCTCTTGTTTCTTAAATGCTTACACACATAATTTTCTTTGCATCAACTGCATGAACTATTTCATGCTTTATCAACAGTTGTAACATATAGATAAGAGTTTAGTCTCTATAAGCTCGAAATAATACGAAGAATACTGCCTTCGGCGAAATGACGCTGTGTAGTCTGGCAGAAATTATCAGACGTTTCGGCAAAACGTACTGCCTCAATTTTCAAGATTTAAGATTAAGCCCAGGAACTTTCTACTTTATACTGATTGTTTTGTTTCTTCTCTGCTCTTCTCCCTCTTGGAACGTGAAGACTGAAGTTGTGCTTTCCTCTTAAATTTCAGGAAACATCTGTCAGACTACACGTCGACACATCCCAGAAGGCAGCACTGTTCACAGTTCCCGCCGTTATGTTTGTTCCTTTATATAAAATTATTATATAGACTGAGGGTGTCTGAGAACAGGGTACTGAGGAAAATATTTGGACCGAAGAGGGATGAAGTGACAGGAGGTTGGAGAAAACTGCATAATGAGGAGCTTCATAACTTGTACTCTTCTCCAAGTACAATTACAATGATCAAGTCAAGGAGGATGAGATGGGCGGGGCATGTCCCACCAATGGGGGAGACGAGGAATACCTATAAAATATTGTTGGGAAAGCCAGAAGGAAAGATACCACTGGGAAGACCAAGAAGTAGGTGGTTGGACAATATAAAAATTGGTCTTAAGAGAGATAGGATGGGATGGTATGGATTGGGTTTATCTGGCTGAGGATAAGGACCACTGGAGGGCTCTTGTGAACACGGTAATAAGCCTTCGGGTTCCATAAAAGGTTCCGGAAATTCTTGAGTAGCTGCACAATTTGCATGTTATCAAGATGGGCTCAGCCCCATGAGTCAGCTATCGAGTGAGTGAATGATTTGGTCTCGTTGATCTATACATCCACTCCACTCCCCCATACGACTTCATGAAGTAGTGTTTAGTCAGGGAAGCACAGGGAAAATTTTACTCATTTACCTTGTGAAGTTTAGAATAAAAGAACAAATATTTCAATAGAATATGGGAGAACAGGAGACAATTTCGATAAAAGATCTGCTGTCGTCTGTTCTCAATTTTCTTCCCGCTTTTTACCCATCAAGAATTGTGCAGGAAAGTGTAGAAACGAATTTGAAACAGGACTGCACCACTGAGAAGCAGTACAGCAGTGTTTGCTTACGCAGGAGCAAGTCACGTAACGTGTCTGCTGAAGAACTGTTCCCCATGCTGCAGTACCTGGGCCGTCTCTACGATCATGACCCGGACAACACTAAGGCGATGCAGAAACTGCACAGCATATTGGCAGAACATAATCAAGACGTGGACACCATGATGAAGGAGGTACGTCTTCATATTATTGTGCTTCTTTCCTCTGCCATTTGATTCTCTTTTTTCGACTTTCATTCTGCTCTTTCATCTTCATCTTCTAGTTTTTATATGCATCATATTGCGACTAATTTATATTATTATACCAAATATGCTTTCGTATTAGGCATTTCACGAATATTTGTCTGTCTATCTATCAATCTATCTACGATTATGCAGCCCTTGTAGATCTTGGCCGCTTTTTTTGTTTCTTGATCTTTTACACAGTTGGTAGTCCCCCTTGGACGGGGGATCAGCCTGTCCCAAGGCCAAACAGAAAAGCACAACACAGAATAGAAGCACACAGACATCTCTGCCTCGATTCGAATTCGAACCCATGAACAGTGTGTTCGAGTGGGTGAAGAAGGTTCATGTCTTAGGTAGGCCGCACACCGGCATGCGTCAAGACTTGTAACAGTCAAGACACGATGTCTACGACATGACGCAAAGAAAGGAGCACAGTTGAAACGAATGAGATTATGAAAACCGCCGCACACCCGTCTGAGTCATGATGCTGCTTGAGCAGGTGACGGACTAGCAGTTTCTCATGGAGAACTGTGCTCCGTGGACTTTGCAGTTTGGTTGGTTGGCTGGCTGGCTGGCTGGCTGTGTGGCTGGGTGGCTGGGTGGCTGGGTGGCTGGGTGGCTGGGTGGCTGGGTGGC